CCATTTGCTACCAATTGAAATAATTAAACCCATATCCATCTTGATGAAAGGATGCACCGAAAATAGTACTGAACTGAAAGAGAGCCCTTATAATTGGAGCATGAGGAATTGAACACAAATTGTAGTTTACCTGGTTTATGGATAGTGATCATCTCTGATGCCTTTATTCTTTCATTGCAGATGACAGTGTGATTGCTTTGGCAAACAGGTGCCCTCATCTGAGATCCCTTGGCCTTTATTACTGTCAGAACATTACAGACAGAGCAATGTATTCTTTGGCCCAGAGTTTAGTGAGGAACAAGCCTGCAGCAGTGTGGGAATCTAGGAAACCCAAGAATGATGAGGAAGGGCTCAGGACTCTCAACATCAGCCAATGCACAGCGCTCACCCCTTCTGCTGTTCAGGCGGTGTGCGACTCATTTCCCGCACTTCATACCTGCTCTGGAAGGCATTCCCTCATTATGAGCGGCTGTTTGAACTTGACATCCGTGCATTGTGCCTGTGCTGTCCAAGCACACCGCACGGCAAGCGCCTTTCCTCATTCGGCTCATTGATTAGAGGAACCGAGGATTAGGGTAACAAACTAAAGTGTGGAAGGGCCGAGAACCCAAAGCCACAGTATATATATTTGTGTTGAGGTGTAATCAGCAGTAAATGGGCAATGGCCTGGAACTACGGACTTTAAGAAGTATCTTGACTAATGTTATCAGCTTTTGAATTATGACTTCTGCAGCATTTTGATTGCTGGAAAACAAACTTAATTTTGTTCATTTTAACAAGCATTTTGGCGTCCCCATCTCCGAACCCCATCCCCATTTAATAGGTTTTGTGAATCCCCGATATTTTTTATTTCAGATTTTGAAGGATGTTCCTCTGCAGATTTTATGCTTGAGCTCCGCCAGTAAAAATTTAACCAAAATCCCACCTGTTACCCAAGCCAACAATAAACCATTGAAAAATAAATTCCCCAAAATCCATCAAAATCATATTTTTCTTCAGCATCCCAACAATAAACCGTTGAAAAGGAGCAGCCCAACCAAGAAAGAGGAGGGAGATAGAGAAAGGAAGAAGAACAAAAGAAAGAGGAGGGAGGGGGAGAGAAAGGAAGAAGAAGAAAGAAGATAGAAAAAGAAAGAAGAAGAAAGAAGAAACAGGAATGGGGAGAGAGGGTGAGAAGAGTTGGGCTGCTCATTATTTGGGCTTGAAGATAGATGGTTGGGCTATTGGCATACTTGATAAAAATAATGTTATATAAATTTTTATCATGAATAAGAGTAGTATAATTAAAATATTTACTAAATATATATATATATATATATATATTTTTTTTTTTGTCAGGAACTAAAAATGTTTGATCCACAATTTTCAATTTTAGTATGTTAATATTAACTAAAAATGAATGAACTTGTGTAATTAATCATATATTAAGAAAATAGTAATATAGTAGATAGTATCATAACAATTCATCATAATAAAAAAACCTTTTTTTAAGACGAAAACGAAAACGAATAATACATATTTGTACATACTTCTTTTGTACCTTTAGTATTGGCAAATGTATACTTCTTATGTACCTATGTAAGTGTCTTTATATATACATATACATTATAACCACACAAACGTATATAAACACACAGAATCTCTAAGCACAACTTTGCATTTTTGTTACGTAGTGCACTTGGATATACCGAGCCCATATTTGGATTTTTGTTATCTTCAAATAAGCATATTGACCAAGAATATATAGTCTTAAAGTAACATCTATTCCTATGTTTAGTATATTGATCAAAAAATGCAATTAACATTAAAAATCATAAAATATTATTATAAGAGTATTCTAATCAACCTCCTATATTGATTCACTTTTGATGTTTGATTATTTCCGTTATTTTGGATTGTTTGAATTGTAATGCATTGTATATTTTTATGTAACTCTTATATTGGTATATTTAGGATTATAGAATATAAGATTTACTCATATATTTGTATTTATTAGGTTTAAAAAATAGAAACTGCAATGCAAATGTGTTTTTTTTTTTTTTTTTTTGTAACTATTATATTTATATTTTTAGGCTTGTTAAATAGAAAATACAATGCAATGTGAGTTTTTTTGTTACTCTTATATTATTATTTTTAGAAACTGCACACAAGTGTATTTTTTTTAGGGAGCTGATTTTCTCATTCTTCTTTTGTCCACTTACACTCCCTTTGTTGGAAATTGGACGTTCCAACTCCTGTTTTGTCCATTTACATTCCCTTGTATATTATATTAAAAAGTATTAAAAAATAAATAAATAGGGAATGCTAGCAACCTTCTCTCTAACCTTCTCTTTTGGATATTCTCCATTTTCTTCATGACATGCGTCACTTTCTTACACTTAAAACAATATACATAATGTATCACATAAGCGAGGTTTTGTTTTTCAAAGTTACCCTTTTTAAAAGTATATTTTCATTTTTCTTTTAATTTAGTTTCTCCTCTCTACGTATTTTCTCAAAAACTTTCTTCTTCTTTTACCACTTTGAGCTTCTCTCTCTGCCAAATTTAGATTTTTCTATCCAATCCAAACACCCAGGATAAGAAAAATATATCTTCTTCGATCAAAACCAACACACCCTTATGAAATATCAATAAGACAAAGATTTTTTATTTAATCTTTTTTTTTTACAACAAACCTTTTTTTGGTGATGGAAGGGTTAGAGGCGGCTCTAAGATTTTAGGGGCCCTATGCCAAAACAATAAGGGAGGCCTCCTAAAATAAAGTCTTCAACAAAAATTATAAAAAAAGAATCAAACTAAATAATCAAAATATTGTGATCATCAAATTACTAATTATCAATAACCAAGAAAAAAACAATAATATACAAAATATAGGAAAAACAAAATCTGAGAGTTTGAGAGAGAGAGAGAGAGAGTTGAGTGGTTGAAGGCTGAAGCTTGAAAAAAAAAAGATACATGCGGCTGGAAAAACAATTGAATACAAAGTTGTATGTTGGAGTTCTCTTATATTGGGCAACGTGAAAAGCAATATTAAATAGGAAGGAATAGACAAATCAACATTAATATTATCCTATTAATATAGGAAAAGCCAAAGCAATCAATACCAATATAATAAACTCACATTAATAAAATAATATTTATTATGGGGTCTAATTTTCCTCAAGCTGTACTTAAAGACATATGAAAAATGAATATTAATGTTATTAAATTAATATTATTACTAAGCTACAATAAAGGAAATATTTTTGCCCATCACTTTAACCAACCGAAGGTGTAGTATTGAAAAGGGTGGTGATGTTAGATCTTATGATGGCTATGGTTATGTCATGTTTGATTATAATTGAACTAGTTATGGAGCTCAAGATGATGAAACAGATTATGAACCTACTAGTTGGGTTAATCCTAACTATCCCATATATGGGAGGACAATAGGGAGCTCAAGAGAGACCTATGTGCACCATGTTCAAACATGGCTTACAAACTACTCGGGTTACATGACTTGGTATGACTATTGTATGAATCTAGATAGCTATTCCTCATTGTTTGAACCTCATAGGAGCTCTTCATTTATGTAGATGGACACTTATCTAAATTGTAATCCAAAGTTTAAACAAACTATGGATTTATGCATGGTTTATTCATTCTGATCAAAATTTTATTTTCAAACTTTTCATTGACGCGCATTACATACCACTTATATTTTATCATATGTATATCTTATTATTAGTAAATTTTGAGTTTTATTTGTTCAATACATTCATTGATAATGTACATAACATCTATGAAAGTTTGACACCAAAATTATGTGTTTCAGTGCCTATATCTGTCATTTTTGTTGATTTTTTTCCGATGCCTAAAACGATAACGATATATCCCCCGAAATATCCGTAAATTGGAGGCCCGATATTATCTGCATGGCCGATATTTTAATCCTTTGTATACACTGAATCTAACCATGTTTTTGGTAGGTCGAAAATTATCAGGAAATAAAAATAGGTAAATATGAAGCAACAAGACCAAGGAAAGAGAAAGGGAAGAAGAAAATAAAAAAAGAGAGAAGGAATCAACAAGCCCAGGGAAAAGAGAAAAAAAGGGGAAGAGAGAAAGAGACAAAAGTGGTAGAGAATCACGTGATTAGATATGGATGATATTGACCTCTATAATTATTTTGGACTTGGAAACCCAATTGTTTTGTACACCCTAGCCCAATTTCTTGTACACTAGAGCCTAGTTTTATAGCAATAGATGCTAACTGTTTTTACATGTATTATTATTATTTTTTCAAAATGCATTTGATTCATTTTTTTTAAAATTTATTTGATGGATGATTATAACATGATGGATGGAATATCAAATTTGCTATTTATATTATTTTAATCATCGTATCGGTGCCATACACATATCCTAGTTTTTGGAAATTTCTTTTATTGGCGTACCCATACCGTATCCATGCAATGTGCAAGTTCCGCTACTTGACTTCCAAATCTTGGATCCGCCATTAAAAATATATATGTCTCATTATGATTGAGTTTGATCTCCATTCGTGTTAAGCAATCGTTTATATCAAGAAAAAAAACAGAAGAAACGTATTCGTTTATTTGTATTGGGAAAAAGTGCTTCTAATGCCTTGCAATTTGTTTGCTTCGAAACAGAAAAGAAACAGTTTTTTTTCATGTGTATGAGACGTTGAATATGAGCCACCACCATTAGCCATCTTTGATTCACCTTAGCAAGCTTTCACAACTTATACTTTTACAGACTAAAAATATACGATGTGGGGACTTGTAGCTAAAATGGTTAAGAGCCTATATACTAAAAATGGCTCAGAAAGGAACTAAAGATCCTATATGTGAAAATTTGGAATATGAAAAGCGTTAAGAAAATTTGGAATATGTGAAAATTTGGAATATGAAATGAGATATGATTTCGACCAAAAAAAAAGAAAAAGAAAAGCGTTAAGACTACGCTTTTGGGTACAGGGAACTTAAAATTTTCCCAGATGCCAAATCCTTTCTCTGTTGTTTCCAGAAAGTAAATGAGTGACGTGAAAGGATTCTAGAGATTGTCTATGACTTGATTTAAGCTTTGTGCATTGATTTAGAAAGAAAAAAAGGTTCTGAATGCCAATTTAATCATAACCAGCTTGTCAATTATCTTTTCAGGTGCACCAAGAACATGAACAACTTGGTCCTATCTCTTGCTCCTAAGTTTATAAGATTGCAGACTCTAATACTACGTCAAGATAAAGCCCAACTTGAGGATAATGCTGTTGAGAGCATTGCAAACTTCTGTCATGATATGCAGGTCCTGGACCTCAGCAAAAGCTTCAAGCTCAGTGACCGCTCCATGTATGCCTTAGCTCATGGGTGCCCTAATCTTACAAAACTCAACATTAGCGGGTGTACAGCCTTCAGTGACAGTGCTCTTGAGTATGTGGCTAGCTTTTGCCAAAAATTGAAAGTTCTGAATCTTTGTGGATGTCTCAGAGCTGCATCAGACAGGGCATTGCAGGTAAAGATAAGATATTGATTTTTTTTATTTTTTTATTTTTTCCACATGTCTTAACTAAGATAGTTCTATTAATACTGTAAAATCATGTGCAGGCTATTGGTCGTTATTGCAGTCAGTTGCAGTGTCTGAATCTTGGTTGGTGTGAGCTTGTAAGTGATGTTGGAGTTTTGAGCTTGGCATATGGATGCCCTGATCTCAGAACCGTTGATTTGTGTGGCTGTCTCCAAATTACAGGTATTTTGGTTACAGTACCTGTTCCTTGTTACAGTTGGTTCTGCAGTCATATTTCTCAAATCTCGTATTTGCACATGTATGTACTAATAGGTGCATTGCAAAGGAATCAATGCTGCTATTATCAAGTTGCTTAGTATTGCTTGTGCTGTTTCAGAGTTGGCAATCACCATCCATCATTAACCTTATAGAAGCGATTTAGCATTGTCTTCAATAAAATGCCTAATGACTTGACGAAAATTTTTATTAGATGCTTAGGCTAACCTTTCATGTCCTTTTCTTTTTATGCTTTCCATTTGCTACCAATTGAAATAATTAACCCATATCCATCTTGATGAAAGAATGCGCCGAAAATAGTACTGAACTGAAAGAGGGCCCTTATAATTGGAGCATGAGGAATTGAACACAAAATGTAGTTTACCTGGTTTATGGATAGTGATCATCTCTGATGCCTTTATTCTTTCATTGCAGATGACAGTGTGATTGCTTTGGCAAACAGGTGCCCTCATCTGAGATCCCTTGGCCTTTATTACTGTCAGAACATTACAGACAGAGCAATGTATTCTTTGGCCCAGAGTTTAGTGAGGAACAAGCCTGCAGCAGTGTGGGAATCCAGGAAACCCAAGAATGATGAGGAAGGGCTCAGGACTCTCAACATCAGCCAATGCACAGCACTCACCCCTTCTGCTGTTCATGCGGTGTGCGACTCATTTCCCACACTTTATACCTGCTCTGGAAGGAATTCCCTCATTATGAGCGGCTGTTTGAACTTGACATCCCTGCATTGTGCCTGTGCTGTCCAAGCACACCGCACGGCTAGCGCCTTTCCTCATTCGGCTCATTGAGTAGAGGAACGAGGATTACGGTAACAAACTAAAGTATGTGGAAGGGCCGAGAACCCTAAGCCACAGTATATATGTTTGTGTTGAGATGTAATCAGCCGCAAATGGGCAATGGCCTGGAACTGCGGACTTTGAATTATGACTTTTGCAGCATTTTGACTACTGGAAAACAAACTTGGTTTCGCCTCATGGTTTTGGTGATTGTTCGTTTCCAAGAGCGCCTACTCGTTAACTCCTGGCTCTGCATTTCCTAGAAGAAAATCTTTCGTTAAGCAGTGTGTCTAAAAAATTCATTTGAAAACCTAAATGTTACAGCAACAAACACTGAGGTAGACATTTCTGAGTTCCCTTTTGTTCGATCAAGACGACTAGTACTCCTCGAGTAAGATGCAGTGTGAGTCTACTTCCCATTGAATTTAAATGAGGACATCATTTGAAAATTATCCTTGCAAAAAATTAGACAACTAGATCTCTATTATAAAATCTAATTGTGACTATTTTCAAATTGTGACAAGAAAAAAAAGGCCGAACAGAGTTTTCCAGAAAACATTATAATGACCACTTATTAACTTCAAAAATGGAGGAGTCTACAACGTCCCTCAAATAGTCTTAATCAAGGTCCAAAATATCGATGATATCGGAAATATCGGTAGTCCAAAAACACGGAAATTTCGATGGAAATATCGGGATATTATCGATATCAATAAAAATTGAATAAAAACCACAGAAATTGCAAGAAAAACTTAGAAATTTTTATTGAAACTTTGGAGGATGTTTATTTAGTCAATTATATATTCGTTTATCGAAAAAAAATTGGAAGAAAATTCATTGCATGATGGGTTTAACTTATTTAAGTTGATTATATAGCGAGCTGACAAACACTGTGAGTATAGAAAATATGTAGTAATTAATGAAAGAAGATTAAACACACCATAATCATTTATATATAATGATTTACTTCAATATTTTACACTTTATACATTGCATGGTAAGATACATGAGTGACTATGAGGTTCAAAAAATTTCAGTATCTTCATCATCTCTATGTTTAGAGTAAGTGTACTGCGAGTAGTCATCAAATGATAAATCCCCAAAATAGTTTTCCATGTAATTGTTAACATGCCACCCATATGGATCCAAGATTGGTTGACGTTGTCCATAAGTGTCACACCCTGAATTTTCAACAACAACTAATATGTGTGTTTAAACAGAACAACTAACAATCCGGGATGTAAAGTTCGGAACCTTCATCAAAAGTACCTAGAAATTTAAAATTTTCTTTCTTGATACGACACCACTGTTCCGAACCACAATGTCAATAATGACTCAACTCTTCTGAGTCAAATGTTACATTACAAACTTACATAATAAAATGAACAATCATCATATTACAAAATTTGCTCTTCAGAGCTCATTTCACACAGCAGAAGTCTAACACTCACCAACACGCTCACACCACACTTTGCATTCTGTGGAACCACCAACGAGCGTCCTGCTCCTCACCTTAATTCTCCTGCTCACGGTCTTTACCACCTGCAGGATTTCCCCTACATCATCGAATAGTGCACCGGGTCTCTGTGGAACCACCAACGAGCTTCCTGCTCCTCACCTTAATTCTCCTGCTCACGGTCTTTACCACCTGCAGGATTTTCTCCTACACCATCGAATAGTGCATCGGGTTCACCACAGAACAACCCGGTAAGCTTTCTAAAGCTTGTATGAGTAAACCACGTCCAAAGTATAATATATCACTTTACACATAATATACAAACACATGCACTTTCTTTAGCATATCACAATCCTTGTATAACCAAGGTAATCATAATCATCAATATCATCACAATCACAATTCTTTTATTTTATTTAAAGAACTGTTTCGATCACCACCTGTGACCACACCAAAACTCTTTTATTCTCAAAGTAGTTTTCACACGTCAACTATTTGATAGATAGAAGAGAGAATACTATGAACCTCTAATCTATAACACTACAAACCTCCAAAGTAGTGTTCACTCATGATTACCCTCTAGTCATGAGTATTAGATGACGCTAGACTAGAGCTCTAACTGCAGGGTAATTTATCCCTCATTATTTGTCACAAGAATGCCCACCTGACAAACTCAGAAGGGATTCAAGGTATTCTTACCTAAATCCATCAACACCAAAACACCAACACCAAAACAATATAAAATGTCGTTTCACAATAAACATTGTTTTATTGCCAAATACACCAATCACAGCAATACATATTTATTATATATATTTATGTGGTTATTCACGAATGAATTTTCACCATACACCCACAACATATGTTATATGGTTCAACACCAAAATCTCCAATAAAAATAATCAATTCAAAACAAAATACGTTTCACTTACCTCATGAACCGTTGATGAACAAGTTCATGTGTTTTAAATCAATTAAAACATTTTACAAACTCACAAACAACATGTTAATTATAGCCATTAACATTATCCAAGGTCACATTATAATAAATATAATAATTCTTGATTTTACTCACGATTAGGATGGTTTTACTCACCTTTCGTCCAAGCTTCGTCTTCAACAACTTAATGAATCCTCAATCTCAAACCTCAACGAGCAACTCAAACTCCAACAGTACCTAAGCATACATAACTCAACTTAGCACAAAACTCCAAAATCCAAGATTTTGCATCTAATGACGAAAATGCCCTTTGGACCAATCGGGGATCCAAAGCGATCAAATCTCGTCCAACCAACTCCAAAACTGTGACGTACATGTTGTCGATGTCGAATCATGACCAATGACACCCATTGTCCAAAAGGTCACTATTTGGGTCCCGTGGGTCCCACATGTCTAATCGACACCCCAAAAATCCGCCTTGGGCCCACAACCTTAGATTTCAAATCCGAACGCGCCAATGGACTCTAAATGGTCTCGACATCACCCTGCGACAATTTGGGCCCGATCCAACGGTCGGATCATTCTAGATCGCACGATCGAATGGAGATCGCTCTCCTCAACTTTGAAACATAATAACTTAAGATTGGGATGTCCGATCATCAATTTGTCTGAACCTACAGACGCCTAACAACACCAGCTACAACATACGTAAAATTGGACACGATCCAACGGTTCGATCATCTCCGATCAATGGTCCAGATTTGTGAGGCTCCGATCGTCGAGCAAACGACGAATCTCAACACTTTAAACATACTATCATGCTCAGTGACTCCAAGACTACAATCTGTCTCTAAACCCCTAACTCATAATCCTCACCACGTGCCGCCACCGCTAGTAGTGGTTCGGGGTATTATTCCGACGACGGACCAACCGTAGAATCGCCTCTCAATATACGTAAAATTGGACACGATCCAACGGTTCGATCATCTCCGATCAATGGTCCAGATTTGTGAGGCTCCGATCGTCGAGCAAATGACGGAATCTCAACACTTTAAACATACTATCATGCTCAGTGACTCCAGGACTACAATCTGTCTCTAAACCCCTAACTCAGAATCCTCACCATGTGCCGCCATCGCTAGTGGTGGTTCGGGGTATTATTCCGACGACGGACCAACCCTAGAATCGGCTCTCAATACCTATACCAAAATGTTCATAACACGGAGTAGAACAACTTTAATTCTTACCTCAAGGTCCGATTCAAAGTGTAAGTGGCTCAAACCGCTGGTTGAAATTGTTCACTTCACTAGTGACGAACCAACTTCACGGTGTCACCATCCCTTTACAGTACCTCCGATGGCTCCGATTCTTCTTGGTTTATGCTCACGAGATAGCAGGCTTTTGATCTGGGTGGGTAGTGTTGATCACCTCCACCATACACGGCCGAACAAACCGCCGGAAATCGCCTCTCCGACAAGCTCTCAAACCTCCGGGTTAAATTGAAAATTGTGAAACCTCAACAGTGTCCATCTGTAATTTATAGGCAAAGAATCTGTTTGCAATTAAGTCCCTGGAACTTCAAACGAGTATAACTTCTTCGTTTCAACTCGGATTCACTATGCTCACGAGATAGCAGGCTTTTGATCTGGGTGGGTGGTGTTGATCACCTCCACCATAAACCGCCGAAAAAACCGCCGGAAATCGCCTCTCCGACAAGCTCTCAAACTTCCGGGTTAAATTGAAAATTCTGAAACCTCAACAGTGTCCATCTGTAATTTATAGGCAAATAATCTGTTTGCAGTTAAGTCCCTGGAACTTCAAACGAGTATAACTTCTTCGTTTCAACTCGGATTCATGAATCGTTTGCGCCTACGCATTCGTGAGATCAAGCTCGATTTTCCAATCCAAAAATCATAATTTTCTCACTTCAATTTCTTGTACTTCCTTATGAAAAATCATAAGGGCATTTTTGTCCCAATTTGAAATTAAACTCACTTAATTCCAATATTTTCACATCAAACCAAATTCATAAAACATCCAATATAGCCACACAACTTAATAAGGTTTTCCACAAAAATAATAAAACCAACATTATTTTTGAGGTCATTACAATAAGCAAAATCATTTGAAGATTGGGTCTCGAATTCTTTCCATGAGTCGCTCAATTCCATCCTTAAAGGAAAGGTCAAAGACTCATATTCTCATGTGAAAATCTAATTCTTACAAAAATAGTTCAAAACAAGACAATATAAATATACATATTTTAGCATATTATCACAAAAACATAAGCAACATGGTGGTTAAGGTGTTGAAGGAGTGAAATGGCAAGGGTTTTGAATCCCCTTTGAGTGTGTAATTTGTGTTTTTTTTCTTCCCATTATATCGATATTTTCGATATTATAGCAATTATTTGACAAAATATTGCTTTAGTGTGAGCGAAATTATCGACATCGATATTTTCCGATATCATCAATATTTATATGATATGTGTAAAGATACGTTCCGAAATACCCGTGACCCGAAAAAATGATAATATCCTCGATATTTCGTTGATATTATCGATATTTTAGACTATGGTCTTAATTGAGGCGTTCCGCCCACTTCCTAGGACAAAACCATTAAAAAGATTTCTTGCAGCCATTTTAGTGCTGCAGAACTTGCAACCATAGGCAATATACATATTTTAGCATATTATCACAAAAACATAAGCAACATGGTGGTTAAGGTGTTGAAGGAGTGAAATGACAAGGGTTTTGAATCCCCTTTGAGTGTGTAATTTGTGTTTTTTTTCTTCCCATTATATCGATATTTTTGATATTATAGCAATTATTTGACAAAATATTGCTTTAGTGTGAGCGAAATTATCGATATCGATATTTTCCGATATTATCAATATTTATATGATATGTGTAAAGATACGTTCCGAAATACCCGTGACCCGAAAAAACGATAATATCCTCGATATTTCGTCGATATTATCGATATTTTAGACTATGGTCTTAATTGAGGCGTTCTGCCCACTTCCTAGGACAAAACCATTAAAAAGATTTCTTGCAGCCATTTTAGTGCTGCAGAACTTGCAACCATAGGCCTTTATTCCAGATTTATCAAGTGATCATCAATTCTGAGTCAACTGTCTCAAGCCATTGATATGTAGTACTTACTCTTCACGTACGCAAGTCATTTAACTCTCACTTACTCATCTTCGCACAAGAACAAAATTGAAGATGAATACTAGTATACACGAGAAAAAGCATTCTAGCTGTAAAACTTTCCATGCCGGAACTCTAAGGTAGCCGTCCACATGCTACTTTAAAATAGTTGTGCAGGCATGTTACAACAGAAGTAATTAAACTCGCATTTCGTTATGAGAACATTGACCACATGTGTCTAACTATACGATTTATACTCCAGGTATTGGGAACTGGGTGGTAAGCCCTTCAACTCTTCTCTGCAGATCTGACACCCGATCCTTTAGAGAGAATTCAGGGGAAGCAACAAACCTCATAAAATCTTGAAGCTTTGATCCTGATACTGCGCGTTTAGCATCAATCGTTATCTGCACACCCTCATGAATGTAGTCCGCAACTGCTATGAATTCTTTCTCGGTGAATCCCCTTGTCGTCATGGCAGGTGATCCAATGCGAATGCCACCGGGCACTACAGCACTTTTATCACCTATTTCATCAAACATTACAGCTGTAAAATCAAGGGGGAAAAAGGCTGAAAGACAAATAAAGACAACTACACAAACAAAATAAGATAGGGCCTTCAAACCAAAAATAAAGGCCTGGACCCTTGGGGCCCATCTGGTAAAATTATATAGCTAAATGGCTTAGAAGCTATATGCGTAGATTTGGATTAAAAGAAAACACATGCATTTTGTATGATTCCTTGTATGTAGCTATTTTGAATCCATTGCAAATAAATTGTATCTAGTTCAAATACATGCTTTCTAAAGATGTTTTTCCATTCAGCCTAATTCTCAAATACAATGTTCTTTTAATGATTTCATCCAAATGGACCCTCCGACTCACCAGGTACTGAATTCTTGTTGAGGGTAATAGAAGCCATGTCAAGAATTTTCTCCACCCGAGCTCCATCAATACCCTGTTAAAAAAGGAAATGTCAAATAACATTGGTAAATAAAATATGGTTATGAACTAATGCAAAGTATCCAATCACAACTTTATTGCTTAACTCATTATCGAAAACACTTTAAATTTGATAACTTTTAATATGAGAATAATTATGATCTCTGATGACAGAATCTTATATTTTCATCCACACATGAGAAAGAAACAAAACAGAAAAACATAGCTCAAACAGTAAACTAATAGGACAGAGGAAGATTCCCTAAAAGAAAAACCAACCCTTGTCGAGCCAAAACAAAGGCCCGTAAACACTAAAACTGGTGAAGTCATAACTCATCTCACTAATTTTTTTTGTTCTATACATAACCTCTAAATGTTAGCCTTCTAAGAAAAGAAAAAAGTGCTAAATAGAAAACAAAAGCTCCACATTTCAGGACAAGTTCTCATTTAAGCAGCAATAAGAAATCTGTATCGAAAAATTAAAACAAATAAATTAATAAACAATCTAGGAACTTACTAAAGGCCGCAAATCCACAAGAACCAGATGATTATCACTTCCACCAGAAACTAGTTTGTATCCAAGTTCAGTCAATCGGCTTGCAAGAGCCCTACAATTAGAGACCACCTACAAGGTAGAGCAGCCACGCTAAATTAGGACATGCCTTAGACCATTTTTACATGAGGACAGTATAATTTCAGTACCTTGTTCTGGTAAGCCTTAAATTCTGGGGACTGTGCATACTTCAAGCAAACTGCAAGGCCCCCAATAGTGTGGTTATGAGGACCACCCTGCATAAAGAACTCAAGCCTTTTATCCTTTCATATGTAATTTAAAAATATAAACACTGTACTTACAGAAACAAATAAATGATTATATATGGTTCAGATTTGTTACTAACCTGTAAACCTGGAAAAACAGCATTGTTGATGGCAGATTCTAAATCAACCCCAAGAACTGTATCTTTCTTGAAGAAGATCATTCCACCTCTTGGGCCTCTTAAAGACTAAAGAGAAATGTCTTAAATTTGTCAGATCATCCAAATGTGGCTTACAAAAAAGAAAGCACATGCTAAGGCTATTTATGAAGTATACTGAGTCTAGAGGAGAACAAATCGACATTTGCACATGTTTACACAAGTCCATTTATGAGAAATATCAGAATTTGGAAAAATTTAGCGAAGTATAAATACGTTACACGAGTATGAACAATACCTTGTGTGTTGTTGTGGTCACAATATCGCAGTAGTCAAAAGGATTTGCAAGCACAGAAGCAGCAACAAGACCACTTATGTGAGCCATATCCATCATAAGAAAAGCACCAACAGCATCCGCAATCTTCCCATGCAAATTAGAAGTAATTGATCAGTTGCAAAAGAGAGACAGAGTGCTTATATATGATAATGAATTTCATATCCTTGTGCGAATGAAAATTATTTATATGGAATGAAGACATAAAATACTAACCTTCCTCATGCGAGGATAGTCAAAATCACGAGGATAAGCACTAGCCCCGGCAATAATGAGTTTTGGTTTAAACCGGTCAGCCATTTCCTCAAGCTTGTCATAATCAACGAGACCTGGATTTTGTTTTTGTTTTATGAAAGGAAAAAGTCCAACCTCATGAGAATAACCATTACATCTTTAGTAAATCTGAAACACAGAATCATTCTTGTCTAGAAACAAAATGCAGCACCTGTGGATTCATTTAGTCGATAGGACATGGACTCAAAATAAATGGATGTGCCTGATACCCGTCTTTTAGGAGTCATGAAACCATGAGACAAATGTCCCCCGTGAGACAAGTCCAAACCCTAAGGTACACGCACATGTTAGTAGCCACCAATAAAAAAAAAGAGTAAGACAAAGCCAAGAGGACAACTTACCATGAGACGGTCATGAGGTTTCAGAACTGCAGTATAAACCTCAAAATTTGCAGGAGAACCAGATAATGGTTGAACATTCACACCCCACTTCTTTCCATCTAAGTGAAATGCATCCAGTGCCCTTTTTTGGCATAGTGTTTCAAGCTCATCAATGTGCTCATTGCCACCATAGTACCTGAAATGTATAGTCAAACTATGAGCTACACCAAACATAATCATTTTAATAAAAGTTACCAGTTGAACTCACATTACTCTGGGTCTGAGTATATGTACCTTTTACCTGGTAATCCTTCCGAATACTTGTTCGTGAGACATGAGCCAACTGCCTCCATCACTGCCCGATATGTAAAATTTTCTGAGGCAATAAGCTCAAGGCTCTTGAACTGTCGCTCCTTCTCCTTTTCAATAATACCACACACCTCAGGGTCAGCCTCACTTAACCCATTGTCTATAAAACTGCTTCCATCGCCTGTAAATCAATTAATACAATTTAGAACAAGTCAGACATAATTCCTGCTACTAACCAATGACTCCTTTAATACTTTAACAGTAGTTGGAAAAATCCAAGCCGAATACATGGTTTTTTAAAGGCTTTTTCATTTATAAAGATGGTTCTTTCAAAAAATTGAGTAATGAAACGCTGCAGTTGTACTGAAAGTAGCGATTACAAAACCTCCAAAGATGAATACGCAAAGCATATAGCATTCTGGCAGATGCCAAGGAAAAGGATACCCTTATTTTCGTTTTTATGTTATTTTTAAGCGAATCTGACATTAAAAATTATAACACCATAACCTTTGCAATCCCAGAAGTATTCCTAACAAAGAAATCCCAAAAAACAAAAACTTAAATTACATTTCAATACGATTTACCAATGGAATCACAACTACATAGAAGTAATTGATAACCGCTCAATGGTTGGAGTATAATTACCTCCAATTTCTGGCAAAGGCACAGAGACAGAAGAGGATGGCCTTCCAGCAACCAAGCTTCCTTCAATGTAAGAAGAAGATCTACGGGTCTTCACGTAATTGAGTTTTAATTGATGTGAATATCCACCAAAGCTAAGCCTCTTGTTTGGAAAAGTTGTTCCTTTGGTCCAAGTGGGCTGTTGAAGAGAACCCATCACTGCAGCTCCACCACAAGCCTGCATCTTGGCTTCCAAATACTATGCCCGCCGCACAAGCTCCTACAGATTTCACACAAAACTATGAGCGGTGAGCACAAGTTTAACATACAAACGATACGAACATACATAAATGCATGCACACATGGGTATATCAATTTATTTCTATAAACAAAAAACTATGCAAAGAGTTCAAAAAATTGTTTGGAAAGTAGTCATTCTCATACAAAATCACACACCCTACAGTATTTGACTCCTTAAACTTCTTTTTCAAATGATTGGGGCTGAGAATTTGTTGATGATCGCAGCTTTTAAACAGAAAGAATAATCTAATCAAAGGGTTAATAGTAAACTTACCCACTTTATCAGGTTTGCTGAGGATAGAGCTTCCTTTGCAATCTGGCGTTAGGAGCAAAGCTGACGATGGAACTCGCACAGGGAAAACGGTGGGTTTAGTGTTAGGGTTTTTGTTCTACCGAAAAATAAAAAAACACAGCATAATATCAGACCCGTTGCAAAAACCTTGGTTTTCTTTTTTTTCTTTTTTAAAAAATAATAAAAATGTGAGGATTGCTTTTGTGGTGGGAAAACTGTTGGATTTTTATTTATTTATTTATTTATTTTTTGTGCTGACAGTCGAGATCTTCTTTTGCCCTCTTCATTTTTATTTCTTTTTAATTTTGTAAAGGGAACTTTTTGGGTATTAAAGACGGTGGAATAATCAAATTCAAATGGAGACCTCTTCCTTTCCTATAAAGTTGTGTTTGGTCCGCATGAAAAAAGGGACAATTTCCTATTTAATGGAGAAGTAGGGGATGAAAATGAAACCTTTCGTCCACTTTTTGTTTTAATATAAAAAAATTTATTTATTTTAATCTTTCTTATCCCTACATTAAGACTTTCATTTTCCTTTTCCATGAAAAACTAGGGGTATGTGAAGGAAAGAGTCTCATATTGGAAAGTTTAGAAATTTAGCAAGGGCTTATAAGAAGTTGGGCTACTTCCCACATTGCCAATTGATTTTGGGGTAGAACCTCAACTTCCTTCATGGTATCAAAGCGGGTTAGCTCACGTGTGAAAGCCCAACGGCCACACGTGCTCCACGTCTCCCAATGTGTTGTCCACGTGTTAGGCTTGAAAATTCATCACACATACGGAGGCGTGTGAGAATGTGAAAGTAAAGAGTCTCACCACATTGGAAAGTTGAGAAACCTAGCAAGAGCTTATAAGGAGTTGAGCTACTCCCCCCATTGCCAATTGGTTTTGGGGTCGGCATAGTCATATTCAGTTTGGTTTTTAGTTTTGGATAAGAACCTCTTTATTTTTTGTTTTTTGTTTTTGTTTTTTCGGTATTGGTCACCCTATAGTGTTTTTGGTCACACTTTTTTTTCTTTCTTTTTTTCTTTTTAATGCAATTGGTCATGCACACTTTAATGTCTCAAATTCCTTTACCCTCCATTTGGATGAGGGAAAATAACTCGGAATTTAGCTAAAGGTCGGGAATTTAAATGGAGAAATTGACAATTCTCTTGTTTGGCAGCTTAAGAGCGGAATTTATTAAATGACGCGCGGAAAAAATCGTGGAAATTGAGGCATCAAATTCTTGAGTTTAATTTCCACCAAAATAGGCGTCATTTCACAATTTCCATAGTGCAGGAATTCATATTTTCCAGTATGCTAAAACTTACATTAAAAAAAAATTGCGCCAAACTTATAAAAAAACAGCGCCAAAAACCTATGATAAAACCCTGGAAAATAGAGATTGTGAGCCTTGTCGCTCAAAGGCATCATAAAAAAGTTGCGAGCCAGAGAAGTAAGGAAAATAAGTTACACGTCTCTCTGGATCAAATCTGAAGGTTAGTCTTCAAGCCTTTCTCTCCTTCAATTTATATTTTTCTATTTTGGGGTTACCATGCTTTCTGAATGCCTATCAAAATTGAGTGTTTCTGACTAAATTTATGAATATGTTACGACTGAGTTTTGTGATCTTTGCGGCACAATGGCTGGATTTTGGGAAGTTTTAACAAAATACTCTATGCCCATAGATATTGGTGTGTGATACATTTCTGTATTTGTTTTCTAGCTTTATTGCTTTGTGTGATGCTTTTGTCTTCTTTGTTTTCTATAAGCTTTGTTTTCTAGTTTTCTTTGGATTGTTACAACTATTAGTCTGTTGTGTTGGCTTTTCATGTCATGTAGTGAGTTACAACTAAATCAGAAAGTAATATTAATTCACACATATAAATCGTGCATCAAATTCTTCTAAATCAGAATGTGTTTGGGTTGTTTGGGTGAAATGTTACTTGAATGTGTTGCTCAATGTATTCTTTCTTGTTTTCTTTTGTTTTTGTTTTGTTTTTTTGTTCTTGATTTCAAGTGTGTTGTGAGGATGGGTTCAAGTTGATTTTCCCGGAGAAATTACGGCGTTTCTGGTGATAGAGTGGAGGTAGTGAAGTGAAGTTGCTGACCATTGATCATGTAACCTGGTGATTTTCAACAATTACTTCTAATTTTCCCATTATAGCTAGTGGTAGACTTGTGATCTTGGAACGCAATTACTTGTATTTTTTACATATTATTTTCAATGTTTTACTACCTCAAATGTGTTGTAAATGCATGAGTTGGTGGATGACCACCATACCTCTTAGCATTCACCCTTTCTAATTCTATGTAACCTATACACTAAATACCATAGTTATGGGCTTGTAACTTATGAGTTGTTAATGTCTTCTTATAATTGTAAGCCTATAAATAAGAGGTCTTATCAAGATGAGAAATACAAGTTGATTGAACAATTCTATTGTCTTCCTCTACTTTCCAATTCTCTCTACAATTCCCCTTAGTTATATAACACGTTATCAGCACGACATTGCTCTTGGTATGTTTTCTTTCTCTGAATTTTCTTTCTTTTTATATGAGCTAAAGTCATCACATGGTATAGAGTTTCTTTGTACTCACCATCAGACTTCATCATGCTCGTTTAAGAAAAAAAAATCCTTATTCTTATTACACATGAATATAATGCCATGGTTTTTTTATTTGTTTGTTTATTTGATCTTAAGTATGATCTTAATTATTATAATGAGTTTGTATTATACAAAAGATCAGGGCCCGAAGTTCCTCGATCCTCATCATATAACTTGATTAGGACATAGAGCCCTTTTGATTGAATCAAAACCTGAAGTTCTTTGATTCCAAATCATTGAGGTTGTGAAGTTCCGTGAATTTAAAGAGCACATAAGGACATGAAACTCCTTGATTTTGTATTAATCAAAATCAGAATTCCATGAGGTCTACATATGTCAAGAACTCGAGCCAGAAGTTTCGAATGCATATACATCGATTTGAGTATGAAGTTCAAAGCACAACTATTAATTCAATTTATTTAGATCTACGTATTCTAACTTGAAGTTTCGAATATATGTTGATATGAACCTGAAGTTCATAGTTTTTCATGGATCTTAATACTATATATGAACCTGAAGTTCATTACTTATTTGTGCCTATATGAACCTGAATTGGTTGGAAATCCAATTCTTAAACTTGTAGTTTTATCTACATATTGAATTCATATTAATATTATATTATCTTGGAATTTCATAGTCTTTAATTTATTTACTTTATTCCTCATTTATACCACTTTTCTCATTTTATTTTATTTTATTTTATTTATGTTGGGTTATTAGTTAATTTCGTTTTACGATAGTAATATAATATTGATACTTATGGTTATTTTATATATAACTGAAATCATAATTGCCAGAAGCAATCAATGCCCATTTATACGAAATGAAAAGATAATATTGGTTACACTCTTTGTGTATTATGATGGAGCTGAAAAAAAAAGGGGGGAATTAAGCCCCGAAGATCTTGATCCTCAATATATTTAATGAGGGACTTGAAGATCCTAAATTCTATACATGTAAAAGAATGAGCCAGAAGCTACAATTTCTATACATCTAAAAAGGCAAGAAAATCCTTTTATATATGTGTATGTACATATATAATTTTATGGTTCACAAAGTGAAAAGGTGATTAAACGTTAACGTGAACGACGTTGATCAATACCAAATATTAGTTGGTTCTCTCACTGTTATGGTTTATAAATTTGAAGACACTCATAAGCTGTGTAGTCTCATTTGAGCTGTAAATCCCACTATACAGTAATGTGTTCAATTTATTTGTAACAACCTTAGCACCATGTACCTGAATGAAAAAGGGATTTTGTTAATTCAGATATTGGAACCTGAAGTCCATATCATAATAATTTAAACCTGAAGTTTAAATATTGAACAAATGTGATAATTATAGAACCAAAAGTTCTAAGTGATATGAGGAAATTATTGGTGCATACTATATTATATTTATAGTCAATTAAGGTTTACATATTCCTAAATTCATTTTCAATTAATTGGGACAAGAAGATCTCCCATATCAATACTTGTAAAATAACTATTTGTGGACTTGAAGTTCCTCATTTTTCTCAAAAGGCGTAAAAGACCAGGAGTTCTTCAATCACTTTTATTGAAACCAGAAGTTTCAACTATTTATTTTACGGTAATTTAATTATTGTCTTACTTTGGTTGTTGTATTTTATTTTTGTCAATATTTTATATGTAAGGACCAGTTCTTAAAAGGCAATCCTTATAATATAAATATTTGTGGACTTGAA